GGGGCCCGCGGGCTCGGAGTGCCGCGCCCCGCAGGCTAGGGGCGGAGCCTGGGCCGGGAGAGCCTCCAGCCTAGGCCGCAGCCGGCGCTGCTGCTCTCGGCCCTCCGCGCTCACCTCCTGGGCTGGGTCTGCAGCCGGGGCAGCGCCTCCCCGGTTCCTGGCAGCACTCTCTAGCCCACGTGTGCTCACCTCCTCCCGGACCAAACGCACTATACCGGCGTGCGAAGGGTCTGCGTTCCGACGGAGCGTAGAAGAACCGAGCCCCAGCGGGTAAATCTCCGCTCCCGGGGCACAGGGAGCTCCCAGGAAGAGCGAGTTGTGAGAACTGGTGAACGCGCCCGCCACAGGCCACAGATCCCTGTTAACCCCTGGCGGCCGAACCTACGGGGAAAGTATGTCTTTGATCGGGCCTCAAGGCCCTCCGTAATGCTCCCCTTTGCTCTCCGCACTTACCCTTAACACTCCCAGGCCTCTGCTAGACTCGTGGTTCCCGAACTCCAGCCTGAGTGCTTCGGAGTCACCTGGAGGATCTGATAAAACACTGCTAGTCCTTGCCTCGGCAGTTTCTGCCTTGGTGGGTGGGGAGTGGGGCCTGAGGGTTAGCACTTCAGCAAGTCCCCAGGTAATCCTGATGTGCCCATCTGGTATACGCTGGTCCCTCTGCCAGGTCCTAGTGTAATAGCTGTCCTCCCCCTCCCCTCCTTCCCGTCAAGGCATCCTCTCCTGGGCCTCCGCAGCCCAGTGCTGGAGAGCACTGAGCGCACAGCTGGAGCTGCTTCCTCCGGGGGGTCATGCCTTCTCCACCTCGGAATCCTTAGCTCCCCATCGGAGCCCCAGCAACGCTCAAGAAGTGTTGGCGACCGCCAGAGCAAGTAGAGCCCCACTTCTAACCAGCCGACCCTAACTTTTTGAGAGCCCAATAAGTGAAAGCACCACATTGGACGTCTAAACACCTGGCAGGTTCAGAGAGGGCAGGGGAGAAGAGGGGAAATCGTGCCCCTCAAAGCAAGGCGAATCCCCTCTTGGAACACCAAGCACTGTGCGAAGGGCGTTAAAAAAAAAAAAAAAAGGCAAAACCAAGATAGAAGATTTAAAAGGGAAGACTAAGAAGTGCTACAGAAAGGCTTGGAAAGATAAATGGCTTTAAAAAAAAAGTTTAGAAGTTTGAAGGCAGTGATAAAGGGGTTTGGAAGTTGCCGGATTAGCACGGTGAGGGAATTCTAAATTGCAATGCTACCGGAGATGCAGTGATTTGACTGCACTTAAATAAAACCTCCTTTAATCATCTCCTGCCGCTTTGGCATTTGTAATCATTCCATTCCTCGGCGGCGTTAGTTAAGTGGGAGAATTGTAAACAATGTTTCAGATGACAGTTGGGCTACTTAAGAGGACCTACACTTCAAGGATTTTGGAAAACATCAATTGACATGCCAGCAATTGATATGTTAATTAAATATCGATCTGATGTGCTCATTAAACCAGGTCCCTTAGGGGCCTCTACCTGCCAATACTTTCCCCCCAACAATGAAAATAGCTTTATTTTCTACTGATTATATAAATAATACATACTCATATAACATTTAAACATTAAAAAAAAAAAAAAAGGAAGTCACCTGCAGTACCACCTTTAACATTTTGGCGACTGTGTTCTCATCTCTTTGTATATTCATGATTTTGCATAGTAGGGGTCATATCACACATGGTTTGTAAATATAGAAACTTACTTTAAAATATTTATTTCTCAGGAAATAGTGTAATGGCTACATCGTTGGACTCCCACATAGGCGACTGCAATTGAGTCCCAGACCCAGTGACTTAAACACACTGGGCACATGTAGCGTGCCCAGAATCCTGAAAGGAGAATGAAGGAGAAGGGATCGTGGTGTGGCCATCTCCCTCAGGGGGGTAATTTCTTGCTTTGTGTCTCTCTGTCTCTCTCAGGTGAGTGCACGTGCCCTATAGCAAAAATCTCTCTTAAAAAAACAAATTATGGGGAACCAGCAGTTAGCGTAATGGCTATGTCGCTGGACTCCCACATAGTCGACCGCGGTTCGTGTCCCGGACCCGGTGGCTTAAAACTCACGCCGGGCGCGTGTGCGTGCGTGCCCAAGATCCCCAGAGGAGAATGGAGGAGAAGGGATTGTGGCGTGGCCATCCCCCCTGGGGGGTGATTTCTCGCTTTCTGTCTCTATGTCTCTCTCTGTCTGGCGAGCGCACGCGCCCTACAGTGAAAATCTCTCATTATGGGACCAGCAGATGGTGTAATGGTTACATCGCTGGATTCCCATGTAGTCGACTGCAGTTTGAGTCCCAGACCTGGTGGCTTAAACTCATGCGGGGCGCATGTGCGTGCATGCCCAAGATCCCAAGAGAAGAATGGAGCTTTCTGTCCCTCTGTCTCTCCCATGAATGCACACACCCTAGAGCAAAAAAATCTCTCTAAATAAATAAATAACGTTTTATTTCTCTTTCCCCTGCCTATTAACAGCCTGGCTTGGTTGCTAGCCTCCTCCCACCTGTCTCCATGACCATTCACACACATGCGTGCCCACTTTTCTGTTTGTTTCTGGAGGGAGTCATTATACCTAATTTTTTTAAATTTGGGGAGTGTTATTATATTTAAAAACTTAAATTGTATTACATATACTTTTCTGCATTTTACTTTTTTCCCTTAGCCATAAATATACAGCAAAAGTTCCCCTAAATTGGATGGGACAGGTCACAGTTTTGTTTTTGTAAAGAACAGCAGCCTGCTGGCATGCAGTGCCTCATTTGGATGTGTCTCCTACAGGGGACCTGGAGAGCTCGTTTGGAGGGTCTAAAAGGGGCTCACAGCTACTTGTATACCCTTGGCTGAAGACTGGTCCTCTCCTGGGGATGGCCATCCTCTCTGACTGAGTGCTCAGTGCAGCTTCCCGGGGGCGGGGGGAAGCACACGGAGCGGTGAGAGAGGAAGGGGACACCCACCTAGCCAGCCAGATCAGCTGGATCAATCCCGGCAATCAATGGGGTGACAGATGTCGCAGCCAGATCGCCCTCACATTCTAAGTTATTCTTTTTAATGACTGCATAATATTCCACTGCTTTATTATTTTTTTAAAGTGTTTTTTTGGGGGAGAGAGGTTTTTGCTATAGGGTGTGTGCACTCGCCAGAGAGACAGAGAGACAGAAAGTGAGAAATCACCCCCCAGGGGGGATGGCCATGCCACAATCCTTTCTCCTCCATTCTCTTCTCAGGATATTGGGCACATATGCACACGCGCCCGACGTGTTTAAGCCACTGGGTCCAAGACTCAAACCACAGTCGACTACATGGGAGTTCAGCAACATAGCCATTGTGCTAACTGCTGGTCCCTTGAAGCTTATTTTTAAAACTTGTGGTAAAGAGCAGATGTGTTTACACAAGAGCTAGAGAGAGAGAGAGAGAGAACCCTTTACCCCACTGGTGCCTGTCACACCACAATATTTTTCCCCCAGTTCTTTGGCCTGTCCAAATTTTGGGCACATGTGTGTACCTGGCATATTTTTAAGCCACTAGGCTGGTACTTGAACCCTGGTAGGCCATGTGGGATCTGTTTTCCTCTGTGCAATGCTTAACTGCTGTGCTATGGGCCTGCTAAAGTTTTCATTTTTATAGATATTGCCAGATTGCTTTCCCAAAATGCTGCGATAATTCACATTTCCAGCACTAATATATGAGAGTATTGTTTTCCTCCATCCCTTCCCACAGCAGGGGTTATTCTGTTTTGAATATTTGTTCATCTGTTAGGTGAGAAGTGACCTCATCTTTTTTCAATTAGCAACTCTCTGCTGGGCAGTGTCCGTTAATTGGTTTATTGACTATTTGGTTGGCTTTTTCCAGAATTGCCTCTTCGTATTCTCCACAAAGAATTGACTACTATTCCATTGTTTGGTTTTATTCTTACCAATTTTAAGAATTTTATTTAAAAGTTAAGATTTCTCTCCATTCTCTCAATTTATCGTTGCACTCTGATTTTTTTTTTTTCACTTTGACTTTTTAAGGCCCTGCTAACTATTGTTTTATTTTTTTGGGGGGGGAGAGTTTGTTTTTTTTTTTTTTGAGAGGTTTTTGCTATAGGGTGTGTGTGCTCGCCAGACAGACAGAGAGAGACATAGAGACAGAAAGCGAGAAATCACCCCCCGGGGGGGATGGCCATGCCGCAATCCCTTCTCCTCCATTCTCCTCTTGGGATCTTGGGCACGCACGCACACGCACCCAGAGTGAGTTTAAGCCACCGGGTCCGGGACTCGAACCACAGTTGACTACATGGGAGTTCAGCAACATAGCCATTACACCAACCGCTGCTCCCAGGGGAGAGGTTTTCACTATAGGGCGCGTGCACTCACCAGACAGACAGAGAGAGAGACATGGGACGAAAAGCAAGAAATCCCCCCCCAGGGGAGATGGTCACGCCGCAATCCCTTCTCCTCCATTTTCCTCTCAGGATCCTGGGCACGCACGCACATGCACCCGGCATGAGTTTTAAGCCACCAGGTCCGGGACACGAACCACGGTTGACTACGCGGGAGTCCAGTGACATAGCCATTACGCTAACTGCTGGTTCCCCTAACTGTTGTTGTTGTTGAGACTGAGCCTTGCTAGGTGGTGGTCCTCCCGCCTCAGCCTCCCATGGCTGGGACTACCGTTCTGCCCTCCCTAGCTGAGCCGTCCTAAAACGTTGAGCTTGTTTCAATCAAGCACGTTCCCCTGTTTTCCATGGCATCTCAGTTTCTCTTTGGGTTTTGGTTCTGTAGTCCTTGATGATGTATGCAGTCCCATGTTTCACATATTTTCTACCATAATTTTTATTTTGCGTTTTTAAAAAAGAATGATTGATTCATTTCATTCCACTTATTTCCTTATTCTTTTTTTTTTTTTTTCTTTCTTTTTGGCTAGAGAGAGACAGGAGGTGAGGGGAGTGAGAAAGCAAGCTGCCAGGTCTGGGGCTCTAACTGTGATCTGCCACGTGGGAGCCCAACACCTTGACCATCTCACCACCTGCCGGCCCCTGTTTTGCATTTTTTACCTTTAACTCCTGAGTCAACCTGGAATTGGTTTTTGTGTGTGGTATATGAGATGGGATGCGGGAGTCTGTATCTAGCATGTATTCCCAGTCACTCTATCAGTATCTATTTACATTCTGCTGCTTTAAAAACGTTTGCCAGAGGGTGTGTGCACTCGTGGGAGGAGGTGAGGAAGTGCCTCCCGGAGGGAATGATCATGCCACAGCTCCTGCTTCTCCATCTGAGATCTGGGGCATGCACGCACAGGTGCTCATGTGTTTTTCAAGCCGCATGGTCCGAGACTCAACTACATGGATGGCCCTGTGGGATCCAGCCTCCTTAGCCACCAAGCCATTGGCTGGCCCAATTGTTTTTTTAAGGAATTATTTTATTACCTTTATTTATTTATTTATTTTAATTTGACCAGAGAGGAACAGGGTGAGAGAGAGAGAAGGAGGGAAAGTGAGAAAGTAAGTCACCAGGTCTAGGACTCGAACTGTGGTCAGCCATGTGGGAGTCCAGCACCCCTAACCATCACGCCACCT